TTCTTCCGAAAGGTGATTGGATAGAATAGCTTCGGCCCCTTCTGAACTTCTTACAGCTTCCTCGAGTTCACCCGTGGTAAGGAGAAATTATTTTATTTTTTTTGCTACTTTACCAGAATAGCAATAATTTATACTGATATTTTTATATGTACATATACGGATTCAAGAAGTAATAAATTGATAACAAGGATTGAGATCATATGGTCAATAGAAGAAACCACTGTTTTTTACATTTCACATTATATATTTATTTCAAAATGATGACTAGTGTTTCTGGATAAATCTAAATTAACCGCCTGTTTTAATTAATTAATTAATTTAAACACATAAACATTGGTACAAGAAGGCACCAAATAGATATGCGCCACATAAATCACTCAATTTATGTGAAGTCTGGGATACTGTCTGGATGTTCAAACCGAAGTAGGTGGTTTTCTAAGGTAAAAAAATCCTGAGACGTTGACCTAAATGTCTGATCCACAAGGCAGTGGAGTAACGTAAGGAGATGCACTTCCATGGTAGCCGATGGGCAGTAGTGGTTCATACGCCATTTATTCCTTCAGGATACTGAAGCCCATGTGCACTATTGGTTTGGAATCAGGGTTTTCTAACTCTCCCAGATGAACATTCTAAATCTACCAACTCGGTTAAAGCGCCGGATATTCAGTTTTCGTCTTCTAAATTTCGTAAACAACAACCCTGCGCGAGAAGGCAGTGGATAGGACTTCCCTAATAGTGATTGTATATGCGTAGCCATGTAAGAGCATTTCGAGGGAGAGAGAGCTGACTTTTCATACCTTTTGCCATACCAGGGCACTTGGATTCAAACATATATAATAATTGCATATTACATGATTACGGGACAGACAGTTGTATGTAAATCAGACTCATATATTCCAAAGTGATGAATTTTATAGGATGAACATTTCTTTCCTGATATTGAATAACAAAAATGTCATCTCACAGTTTGATAATATTGAATCTAACTTTAAACATAACCAAGAAGTAAATTTAATAAAGAGTTAACGTCATTTGGAATTAAAGTAAAACAACCAAATGCATTTCGACCTAACAACATACCTGATAATGTTTTTTATACTCAGAGATGAATCTAGCTAAAATGTGACGCTACCAAATCATTCTCGATATAGATAAATAATATATTTATAATATCTCAATGAGTAAAATAATTAGATTTTTTGACGTTTTGTGGCTTAGTGTAAACCACTACTTCAGAGAATAAATAACCAAATTAAAATTAATCCAAGTTTAAATACTACAATGGAGCAACAAGAATAAAATATGATCAATCAAAAAGCAATCTACCCAATGCTCAATTTATTCAAAATTATCAAATCATACCTTGGTAATGATATCTACATCCTCTTTATAGGTTTATTCTAAGTAATCCCATTTAGAAAAACAAACAATCATTTGAGAAAAAAACGTTTTGTGGTACTTCAGTCTGTGATGCTTTGTTTTTGGTAACCATAAATAAAATTCGATGTTTGTTTAATACATTTTCAGTAATGGAAATATTCTCTTTTCTGGTCATTTATATCAAGAATTTGTTTATTTTTTCTAGCAGTTTATGAGAATCAAAGTTCAATTTAACATAAACACGAGTGTAAAAATATAAAATAAAATAAATTTGTAAATTTAACAACCATTTTATTTAGCGCCATTTCAGATTTCAAATTTTATACTAATAAAATACGGTTATTCATCTTTCAGGTAAAACAACATGTTCATTAAAGGCGATAATAATGTAATTAACAGTTTATATGATCAGGGATTGGAATAGAATAGATAGTCAAGCTTTAGAAGAACAAACAAACAATCTATTTTTATGACATAGTGGAAGAGTATACAATTTCCTATAAACAAACAAATAAAGGAAGAAAGAAAGAAAAAACGACTGAAACTTCATATGTAAAGAGGTCATTAAACTGTGAAAATTATTTTTCTTAAGAATACAGGTGGTCCACTATGCTATGTATATTTATAAGTAATAACCCATAATAAAAAGATATATATGAAGAAAAATATAACGATACGCAGGAGATCTGTTAGAAAATGTCTCATTAGAAATATTTTCAGCCACGTGAAAGTTTGTAATTCGTATATAAAGTAAAATGTATGTTCTTTATAAAAAAGCACTGATCATGTTGAACTTTACTTACTTACGTTTGTTACTTCTGTAGGGAGGAGTATAGTACTCTCACTAACGTTTTCCATCCGACTGAGTTCTGGACAACCCTTTGGTGTTCATTCCAGTTGTTATTCATTCTATTTATATCTAATTATAAATATATTTTTGTTATATCCTAATGAGTAGTAAAATTGTATTTCTGATGTTTCGTCACTTATTGTAAGCCGCTTCTTTGGAATGACTATGCAACTGACATTAAATTGGTTAAATCATGAAACGTCAGAAATAAAATTTTTCTACTCATTGGAATATAACAAAAATATATTTATTATTAACTCTCTACCCGATGCTCGATTCAATTGAAACTATCAAGTCCAAACTTGGTGTGGATACCTATTGATGTCTGTTTTCAATTCTCGGTGCAGTATGTTCTTTGGTCTTTCTCTTTTCCGTTTACTTTCAGGATTTCAAGTTAGCTCACACCTCGTGATTTAGTTTGATGATGACCTCAATGTACATCCTATCCACCTCCAACGTCTTTTCCTAATTTCCTCTTCATATGAAAACTAGATTGTTTTCTGCCACAGCGAGTAGTTACTAATCGTTTCCGACAGACGAATCTGGGTCATCTTGTGTAGACAAATGTTTATAAATATTTGTACCTTTGTGATGATGGTTGTGGTAGTTCTCGAAGTTTCAGCTCCGTACAGTAAAACTGTCTTGACGTTCATATTGAAGATTCTCAATTTCATATTGGTTGACAGTTGTATCAAGTACTATTTGCTCTTCAACTGTAGGAATGCTGCCCTTGCTCTGTTGATTTTCGTCTGCATCCGATTCTCCACGTTTATGGATGATGCTACCCAGATATGTGAATGCTTTGGCTACTTCCAGAGTTTCTCCATCAAGTGTGATTGGGTTGACGTTCTCTGTGTTATATTTGAGAATATTTCTTTTTCTCTTCTGTATGTTGAGGCCTACTGATGCAGAGGCTGCTGCTACACTAGCCGTCTTTATGTGCATTTGTTGGTGTGTATGGGATAAAGGAGCCATGTCATCTGCGTAGTCCACATTTTCTTATTTATTCCGAGCTATACGTTGTATTCCGTGCTCTTCCTCAGATGTTGAGGTCTTCATAATCAAGTTGACGAAGAAGTTTCCATAAGGTTCTCCTATCCATGCTGTCAAGCGCTTTCTCACGTCAATGAAGTTAATATATAGTGACGAGTGCCACTCAAATGATTGTTCAACGATGGTCCGTAGTGTTGAGACTTGGTCTGTGCACGACCGAACCACACGGAATCCAGCCCGTTGATCTCGAAGTTAAGTGTCTACTGAGTCTTTCATCCGGTTCAGCAACACTCTGTCGGGTCGTGCTGCTTTCCCGATCTTGATTTGTCTGATGGCCATCCTGATTTTCCCCGTCGTTGGAGGAGTGAGATCTATAGGAAGGTCTGTAGATGCTGCTTTAATGTTCAGTGGTTTCAATGGAGCTGATTTATTCAAAAACTCCTCGAAGTATTCTACCCACCTGTTCCTCTGTTCTTGAATGTCGGTGATTGTCTTACCGTCTTTTCCCTTGATCAGTCTCTCTGGTTTACTATATTTCCCTTCTAGTTTCTTCGTTGTGTCATATAACTGTCTCACATTTCCTTCTCTTGAAGCTTCAACATATTTCTGCTTGTCGGCTTTAATGCTCTTGTTCACTTGCTTGTTTGTCTTTGTGTATTCAGCTTGTGCCTTGACTTTTTCTACTCGTGTTCGGCTGTTGTTTATTGTTGTCTTCGTGGCATTGCTTGCCTGAATCTTGTCCAGGGTTTCCGTAGAGATTTATTCTATATGATAATGGTTTTTGCGGCCCAGAACTTCCTGTCACGTTGAAGTTAGTGCTTCTTCGATCCCTTTCCCGTTGTCCTCCATAATAGTTTCTTCTTATTTCAGTAGGTCCTGTAAGGCTTGAAACCTATTGTTGAGAGTTGTCTTGAATTGATTGAGTTTGTTAATATCTCGTAGGAAAGCTATAATTGATTGCAGCCTCTCATAGAACTGATTTTCGTCATTGCTATCATTGGAGGGTGCATAACATTGGACAATATTCATTGTGATTCCCTTCATTTTTGTTTTGAATGATGCTTTGATGATCCTGAATCCATAAGATCTCTATCCAATAAGTGCTTTACGTGCATCTTTGAACAAAATTAGAACAACTCTGTGAGTGTGTAGAGCATTTTCCTCCACGTGATCAGAGTATAGCAACATCTCTCTCGTACCTAACTTTTGCTGCCTAGTGTCGATGCAATAGGTTTTGCTTATTCCAAGAACTGTCAAGTTGTATCACCTCATTTTCGTTGCTATTTGACTAATCCTACAGGTCATATTGAACCATACACTACATAATTACCATGTTTATTTAATTTTGTTTCTTGATCTAAACTCAAAGTCGATTTTTTTTCATGTAACAGCTATCATTCGTCAACAAGAAAAATTCATTTTAAAAGGTCATGATCAATTTTCGTTTAACAGGATATTCTATTTTGAGCTTTAAATCATTTAACCGAAATTATTCCACATTTCTGATATATACAGTTAATAATCAAGTATTTCAGCCAACTTCTATGTCGATTATATACAACAAGAGCTGATTAGTGATTTACAATGATAAATCATAATAATCAATATTTTCATTTATTTTTTTAATTATTAAATAAACTGATTAAACCCAGAAACTTAAATAACCTAACACAGTTTTCCTCTGTTACGTAATCTATACTATTTCTATTGTATATAAATATACATTTTTATTAAATTATTTATTTATTAAAGTATCCTTTATAATTATTAATTTTAGATTTAATTCAAAAAAATATTGGAATAAAATTCAACGACAATGATAATAATAATTTTTCACAAATGATTATTATGCCAAAAACATCTTCAATTTATTTAGTGAAAAATCGGTAAGTGTCATATAATTATAAATACATTAAAGTAAATATGAGTATCTAAAATTGATTCAGTTTATTAAGGGAGTTAATATATATATATATATATATATATATATATATATATATATATATATATATATATATATATATATATATATATATATAGGACTCAGTAGCTAAGTGATTAACACTATGGCTAGTTCCAGAGTGAACATCAACTCTGAGATTCAGGTACATCCAGCTGATGAGTCCCAAGTAGGACGAAACATATGTCCTGTATTCCATTGCTAGCGACTATCCATCTTTGCTTATAATGCCTGTGAATTAAAGCAATATCGAGGCAATATGCACAGGATTCACATATGCCAATAAGAGACAGATCAATTGCAGTCCTAATCATCAATGGGAAGATTCAAGTAAACAATACCAAGTGAATTTGATGTTTAGTATATGTGAGATGAATTCATGTACGAGAATTCATGAAGCTATCACTGAATTTTGTACATAAAGTAAATATTGTAATCTCATAGGAATATACAATATATATTGATTATAACTCAGAATAGAAAGTACTTCCCATGTAGTTCATTTTAAAACAATCATCCCTAAGATACTAATTGTTAGAAAATACCTTGAAAATATTAAAGATTCTTTTCAAGTTATATATATATATATATTATACCATTGAATAGTAAAAATTAGGTTGGCAATTTGATTACAAACGAAGATATTTTATTAAACTTTAAATAAAGCTGTCAATATAACTTCCGATTCCCACATTCGATTTAGCTAGCGTTGAATTGTAGCTATTTAATTTTGTTCAATAATATAATCATCCATAACAATACAGTTAGATGTTAGTGATGAATAAGTGATACAAAAGAAGTAGATCTGTAACAGTTTGATACATAGGTTTGTTAATTTTTCGTGACTATAGCTACTAAGATGTCTGGAATGGTTATATCTAAAATGATCAATGGTCCACTAACATTCATTTAATCCATGTATGCTTGTTACTATGGTACGAACATACTTAAATGATAATACTATATTTGGAAATGCTATTATTAGTTTTTATTAAACTATTTTGTTGTAACAAACATGGGGTTTGAAATATTTTAACTTAATAATTACAGCCTCTCTGGTCTTTTAAATTCAGCATGCCAGAAAGTGATTATACAGTAAGATATAAGCTTTCTGATTATTTTTTTCCACAAAAGTCAGAAATTACTTCTGTTCACGATCGAACTCAGAACTAAGAAACCTTCAATGATTTTCATTGAAATTAAGAGTTATTTATTTATCTTCTTCATCATCAGAAAGATGAAAAAGAGCACATGGAGTTAAAAGCTTTTCTGAAATTCACTAAGGACATTAATCGGTTTGGGCCAAATTATTACCGTTACTTTAAGTCTTTATATTATGTCTTATAGACGATTGAAATGTTCTACTGTCTTGAAAGTTTTTCTCTAAGCTTTACAAAAAATATCATTGAGGTTTTAAAATTGAGTTTGATATACATTAGATTGAAAGTTCTGTAAAACAACATCAGAAAAACAATATATTCAGCAAATAATTCTGATATAAATTTTTTAAAATTAAATGTCGCCACACAAAGTAGTTTTCGGAATATCAAATTAGTAAGTAGCAGGTTTACCGAGTTTGTAAAACTCACTTTTAGAAGCAGACAATTTATTTATTAGTGAAACTGGGTTTTCGTAAGTTTTAGAAATAAGTTTATGTACAATGCATCTACTATAATCATTGAAGTGAAATTATTTATCCTTGAATTTTCTATAAACAATAACATGATGGCATGTAAATGGATAAGGAATTAAAATTAATATAATTATTTCTAATATTAACGGCTGTCTACGTAATCTTATTGCTAAGCTAACTGCTATGAGCATAATATTCCTTGTTAAATGAGGTAGACATAAATAGTTCATCTGTATCGTGATTGTTAAATAAACATCACATATCATCTGAAAAGTTTAAAGTTATACTACTATTATAAATAGAGGATTTACTGTAATACTTATTAAGCGAGACGATTTATCATAACAAAGTGGCGAAATGTGGATTGTGAAGATTTTTAAGGTAAAATAAAATTTAACCATATTTCAAATGAGTAAATACTCCTTAAAGAAGTCGTAAAGTATATACTCATTGTCAAAATTATTTCAATTTCACTGTAATAATATATTCATTTAAACTTTGAACTAAAAAACAACTAATTTAATAGTTTTAACAGATTGTTGATTTTCGTCGAACTCATGAACTGATCAATGTTAGATTATCACTAGAAATCTGGAAAAAGACGGCTGTCTATTGCTTTTAGGTTTTCAATGGTAGCCTGACATTGACCGGTCTATAGTTTCAATGAAATAATAGTTTTATGTTTTCGATGTATTATGAAAATAAATTCTAAACATCACTATTCAAGTATTAGGCATTACCAGGTACTCTAGTCAAATCTCTTCCATTTGCTGAAATATGATACAAAATATAATATGAATGTTAGATAACTTAAATCTGTTTCTTTATAGTTTATTTTCTTTATCTACATAACTGTAAAGTCTAGTCAATTTATTTATATTATTTAATAATATTTTTCAAATAAACTTGTGTCAAAAAGGTATGCTGTGAAAAGTGTCTTTAGGTGGTCGTTTTGGCCCCCCTACTGAGGGACATGGAAGTACTTTCGCTTAGCGCATCAACACTCAAAAAACAAAGTAAATTAAGTATGACATAGCAATATTACAATCTTATGTATTATAATTTATATAAGAAAATTATTTAAACTTCATTAAGAAAGTTTTAGAAGCCTATTCAATCTCAGACATATCATTTCCAACGCAGTGTAATAACATAAAACATTCGGCGGCTTTTCATTATATATATATATATATATATATATATATATATATATTGATGTATTGACCGAGTAAATAACATATATGTAATAGCGATGATCGTCTTACTTCTTCAGAAAGAGGATGAATATTGTGCAGTATTGGCTATAAATTCAATACAAATAAGAAAGCTCTGAATGATGATATGAATTAGAATCAACCATCGAAATTTGAGTTTTAAGGTTACTTTCATAGTAAAAATCTACGAGAACCAATTGTAGATTTAACAACACGATTAACACCTCTTTAGTGTCGCAACAGATCTTGCATTTAATAATTGTCAGAACTGTCACAGAAATAAAACTTAGATATTGTAAGTCATACAATTAGGATGGTTTATCAAGTTCTGTAATGCAGATGTATATCGTTTATTATCTTAAGAGCTGTGTAAATACAATGCCTCAATATTACATGGAATTCCTCGGGGCCTGTAACGCAACAATGTAAATGTTTGCGGAAAATGCAGGTTAAAGATAGTGATACTCGTTTTTAGTTAAGCCAAAGCGTTAAACACAGATAGGTTTCTTGTCTATACAGATACCTATCTAAATACAATTTAATGCAAAAATACTATTTACATTTAATTGTCATTTGGGAATGAAGTTGCCTCGATTAGATATCTCTTTTTGTATTGATGTTCTTTCAAATTACTACCAGAATCATTCCCAACTTCACCTAGATTTTATTCTCAATGCTAAATCTTAAACTGTTAATGATTGAACGAATAACCAGCTATTTTTATCACTCAGTTCATAGTTATTGCACTACAAATTTATAAATCTATACTTCATAGATGTAAACAATAGTTGAGAACTAGTTAACTCATCCAAATTATAAATGATTTTATGACTGAATTAAATATAAAATTAATATGAAGCACATTACTCTAACAGTACATTATTTAAATATAGTTCTCATAACTTATTTTTACTTACACAAACATATCTTATTCAGTATATATTTAGATTCTTACAATCTATGTATACAAACTAAGTAGTGAAAAAACCTATCATTCATGATAATATTATTATTGTATTCAATATTATAATGGTTATATCGTCTAGATGAATGCAGTAACTAACACTATGTACTTACATAATAATAATAACACTAATAATAATAATAATCAGTAAAGGGTTCTTTGTTTCTAATTGTAACTATTCATCGAAAAATTAAACTCAGACTTGAAAACATCATAAAGTCATCTGTTAGCACTAAGTTTTTTATTGTTTATTTTTGTTTTTGAAAACTAAAATAAATTTGATATCATGTGTCTGCATCGGTTTCTTTCAATTTAATTATCCAAAACATTTTTCTTTTCAGTTTTCAGCAATGAATTTTTATTTAAAATAATCATAACTATTTATTAATAAAAACATAAACAAGTTTTTGTGGCTTATGTATGCATCAGGTAATAAAATAAAAAAGAAAAACAATCAAATTTGATTTGTTTTATTGAATGTCACTTTTTCTATAAATGGATCATAATTGCTAACTAGTGAAGGATGAAAATGAAGGTTACTGGAAAATGAACATTGTTATGTCTAATTGCTATAAACATATAATATTTACATAGAGTATTTATATTTGAGATTATTTTGTAATTACCAATTGAAACGGGGCACAAAATTAACATTAATACAGCTTTTAAGAAATTGTATAGAAATGGTCAAGGATGAATTCTCAACTTTATTGAAGCCTTGGCTATTCGTAAATTTAAACCCCCCTTTTGTGTACAAAAACAATTTGTCGTAACCTTGAATTTACTTTCGTAATCCTTAAGTCATCCTATGACCTGGGATAATGCGACAATTTCTTATTTTTTTATACGATGCGAAATTGCTTCTCGCCTCTTTGTTACTTTTTAGTTGAAATTTTACTTAATTGACGTTTATTAATTTTTATATAAATTCCCTGACAAGTATATGTGTGACCAGATTGTTCGAAATGTATAGCACAAATACATCACATTTTTTAAATCAACTCCGTATTCTCATTGTTCTATCGAAATTTATAAAAGGGACTAATTGCTTTAGATCATAAGATAATCAAAGTGAAGGATGGTAAATAGGTTGCTTTTTTGAATAACGAAATTAGACAATAGTTTATATGTAACTAATATTCTATTCGATTGATATCTAGATAGGTGATTACAATAGTTAAGTGAATAATTTGTTAAAAGAATGATGTCTCAAAACTTATCTCGGTAGTTAAGAAAAACAAATTTTGATCATTTATTAACTGGATGAATGAATTTCTAAATACATAATTAGGATAATATGATAATCAATTACTTTTCAGATAACTACTAACTAGTCAAAGATCAAAATGAAGGGACTGGAAAATGAACATTGTTATATGTCTAATTCCTATATACACATAACGTTTACATGATGTTTTTATATCTGAGATTATTTTGTAATTACCAAATATAATACTGATTACAGGTGATAATAAATTACACGGTATTTTCATTCAACTACATATAATTGCAGTAGATTGTCAGTTCATAGTAGAACGTGCTTGGTAGACTTGAAGGGGGAATATTACACAACTTTCAGATCCTACAGTACTAGAAAAAATGTTAATAGTATCATTGATAGTAACCATTCAGTGTATCGATTAATGTAAAAACGTCTATGAGTTAATGTCTGTTATTTCTTTTCCAATTAAAACGGTCGAAGTCATGTTATATAATATCTGAATGACTACAATTCCTTCATGTTTGCCGATTTAATGTGCAAAATAATCTATATTAGATCATTTTAATATATCATATTTTACATCTCTGAAATCGTCCCTGATCTAGTGACAATCCAGATTAGCATGAGTAAGTGCAATCTGTAACTTATTCAGTAATCATTATATGTTCTAAAAATTGGAGAATTTGAGAAAGCTTTGTAAGTAGATTATATTATGCATTTTGGTGACGTTTCTAACTGTAACACTGAGTCAGTCACAAAGAATTTTAGACGAATCTCAAGTCTATTAACATTATGGTCGCACCTCGTTATCAGCTGATATGTAACCCTATTGCAACCTAATGCATATCCTATTCGGTAATCTAAAATCTAAGATAAAAAGTCATAATAGCATGTTACTTGGCCTAATAAAGATATTGAAAAGTATATCAACACAATTTGATTTTCATTATTAACTAAATGTATGAGAATAGACACTAGCTAATGAGTGATTTGTTGTATGGAAACAATAAAAAAGGCTTGTACACTATTGGATCTCGGCTCAGTGATCCAGAGGTTAAGAACTCATACACTGCACTAACGGTCACGTGATTAATTCCTGGTCACGAGTTCGAGGAGTCCCATACTAGGACGAAACGACTTATTAGTTTTCAGTTGCTGTCTAACTTGGTTTGTGATTTCAATGAAATTCAACAATCTCCCCAACCAATACTGATAAAAATGTTACAAGCTTCATTTCAATTAATGGACTCATCGACCTTTGTCAAGGTCCATACTTTATATGGCGTTATATCTAAGTAAGTTAAAGCTAAGTTCGTTCAACCAAAATTAAGACCATATCTATACAGGTAACACCTATTGTTCTAGAGGTATGCGGTAAGTTGAACATTGTAAATTTGACATGTAATAGCTGATTTAAACGGTGCACAAGAAAGTCAGATGACCTACCCTGAAGTTAGTTAAGTAATTTATTTGTAATTATTAGATACTTCCGATAACCACAGCTAATTATCATTTCCTTCATCTTTTTTCCTCTAAATTTTTTTTCGAAATCAGTATCAACAAAAATTTAATTAAATGTGAAGTAATTAATTATTATTTTATATCTGAGACCAATATGAAGAAAAAGTAATCTGTGCGTGGTATGCAGTGAGAAAATTCACTGTAATAATAACCTTAATAACGTATTAGCATGAGATAAAGCAACCTAGACAATGCCTTTTAAACAAATAGTTATTGACCTGTATTTACAATTGATAAGTTTTATTAATTCATTTTTATTCAGTATGAATTCGGATCTGCTCTACATAACACAATGTAAGAATATATGGAAAACAATAGACTTACCAAACGATGAACCGATAAAATCTTATACATCTCTCAGTTATATTGATTTGGTCATTACTTGAATCGATATCTTATAACTACATTCATCTTACCAAAAACTTGATTATTTATTATTGTAGATTACCTAGAACCACCAAGTAACTTTAATGATTTCTGTGGTTGAAAATGAATTATTTTACCATTTCTAAGGGTACTTATTTTTTTAAGATAATATGAGTAAATTTCACACACATAGTTCCCTTTATTATTTTGAAAAGAGCAAGAACAAAGATTCTTACAGAGTAGCATGAATTCATTTTATTTGATAGGTTCTCGTCATCTGCTTACAACCTGTAATATTGAAAAACAATAATTACATAATGGGTTTAAATTGCTTACATAAAAGGGTTTGGTTGGAAGTTATATTGAAGACACATTAGTATAGTATAGTAAGGGTGTAAATAAATTGAATAGACTGAATATTGTGAATATATACTTTATGTGAAAGAATATTCTACAACAGTGATTGTGGCAACAGTTCAAACGACCAGAAACAAGTGATTACATAACAAGTAAACGCTGATAGGAATAAAATGAGTAGAGCTCAATTGATAAAATAAGATTACTAATTTGGAAGATAGTTGAAATAAAACTCAATGATGTAACAAATTCGACTATTGAAATTACTACAATTTCCACAAAATCCCTTCTGATACTAATCAACATATGCTCACTAGTAACTGACTTCAAAATGTAAATCCTGCAGTTCTAGTAAGAAGCAGTGACCATTTGCGTTCAACCGACTTAGTTATGAGATAATAACTAACTGATGACAATGGTGGATGTGTCGCTCAATTTCGTGGATTAGTTGAAGTTAGACATTAACACCGTTGGATGCCGACCGGCTCAGTGGTCTACAGGTTAAGCGTTCATGCGCGAAACCGATAGATCCTGAATTCGAATCTTGCGCCCTGCTGAGGAGTCCCACAATAGGACGAAACGGCCGTTTAGTGCTTCCGGGTTTCGCATGGTGATCTAGCTTCAATTAACTCATGATCTCAACTATCGAAATTACTACAATCTCCGAAAAACCCCTTCTGATACTAAAGAGTTGAAGAAAAATTAAAGATTCAGCGAAAGAATATTTGTCACCAAGGCAAGAGAAGTTTCATAACCACCTTTTAAAAACACATAAGTCAGGTTTTTGACACCTGATAGCAAAAACATAGTAAAAAAATAAATATTGAACGATTTGCCAAATATATTTTTCAGTTTTACTACATTATGAATGATAAATAGCATTCATGTAAATCACATAAATCTTCATATTACCATTTTCACATTAAAAAAATGTGTAGTTTGAAAGTACTATTCTCCGAATTAACAATTTATGATAAATTATGCAGTAGTAAACAAAATTATTTTGCTTGTAACAAGGTTATTCAAATATATGAAATAATTTAAACAATTTGATTAGACATAATTCTCAACTTAAAATAATTCAACTCTTTTATTGAATTGCTAATTCTTAATTTGATATCTCCTCATGAAGTTGTTCAGTATGCGAAGCGTAAATTGAATATTGATTGTATCAACTATTATCAGCATTAGAAGGACCGTCTTGAAAAATGTTTTAGGTTTAAAGAAATTTCAACGTATAGATCCTAATCTCTGTATTAAAACGAAGTATAATAATTCTAATGTTCATTTGCTTACATTAGATTCCATGATCATAGTGACACAAATTGACCATTGTTTTCAGTGATCAAATCTGGTTGTTTTTTCATTCAAATGAGTGTTTGTGTACAAAAACGTCGTAATATAACCATATAAATATTGACAAGAACTTTTTATATTAAAATTTTTTCTTTAGTAAATGCATATAATTCGTGGTTTCGACAAAGAGAAGGATGAGTTTACAGAAGTTTGCGTGCAGTAGAATCCTCGTTTAATAAAATATCATATAAGACTGTTTAATTAAAGCCTTATTCTTTAAAAACCCTTTTTTTCTATTTTAATTTAGAGGAACTCTGTTAAAGTTAGACATGACGACATTCGAACAACATGATAAATATACACTACCGACGTCATTAAAGTCTATGCCAGAATGCAACGATTCTGTGAGTTCTATGTCACATCTTTTTTGGTTACCAGTATAGATATTGTTCACTTTTATTGAACTTGAAGACTAACTTGAATGTAACATTGCTATTTCATCCTAAATATTGCTACTCATCATTTATGGTTCAAAATCAGTTTATGGAGACGGTTTTCACGATCAATAAATATATGTATAGTAACATTATTCTATAAGATGTGTCAGATAATATCTGAACTTACTAAGTTGCACTACCCCTGGAACTCTGACCGAGGTTGAGAATGGACTTACAGATACTAGTCCCATTCAACGAAGTAGCGTCATGACCTGACCTCTCCGTCGAAGATTGACATGATCAACAGACTATTTCTGCATTCACACAGCGTAGACTGGTCTCACTTTACCGCCTCATCATCATTTTCCAATTATCCATCTAGATAACGAACAATTCAACTATTTTCAAGGGCTTATTACAAACAGTAAGTGCAGATATAGATTTTTTTCATTCTTGGGAAGGATGATTTTCACTGTGCTGATGTACAGTATATTCATAAACCGCTCACTGATAATGTGCTACAATGTCAACATGGATATTATAGTGCATTATGACTATTTCTTCCGCATATTTAATGTCAACTTATCTTTCACTGGCAAACAGATATATATCACCATACGTGCTAAGTTCATTCAAAGCTTTGTGAAAAATGTTTTCAGTATTGAAATGGAAAGTGAATGGTTGAAAAGAAGTTATAATAATAAAAAAAGGGTTGTTGTATTTCTTCGCTTCACCTGTAACATTTGTGTACAGAACTATTGAGGTGTTCATAAACTTCTCATTTACGCCTTAATAAATAAACATTCTCAAGGTATAGTCTGAACAGGTAAATCAAAGGCTGTTGAAGATGCCCTAAACAAAACCCAACCTACTCTTGACGAGTTCCACAAGTTTGATGGAGTATAATAGAAACTTTTGGTTATTAAACAGTAGAACACAGTGTTATATCCTGATTGCTATCACATAACCTGCTTACTTTGTTTTTAAATTTGGGAATGACTGTCCTAGATTTCCAAGAATATGAGACACTTTCGTATCCTGAATCTTTACAAACATTCCAGCCAGTTCCTTAATTAGAAGTTCATCGCCGTCACAGAAAGAAAGAGAGAAGATGGTTTGCATTTCAGGATGTTCTAGAAGTTAGAGGTTCTCACTTCGATCTACTTGATCGAGTTGATCGGTAGTCACAGGCCGATGGTTTGGTCGACCAAACCATCCATTTCAGAGAACAAATTCCATCAAAGCCAATGTACCTTGCTCCACAAGAGCAGGTGAACTGGTAGACGCACATGGAGGCAACCACACACGGAAGCTTATCTTTTATGGATACACAAAATAAGTTCCTACTAATGAAGCTTACTCGCAGTTAAACCGCATTAAATGTTCGTTTAATCGCTGTTGTTAGACAATTTTTGATAACGTTTGATGTTCGACCATATATATACAATTGTACAGCTTGATAATAAATTCGTTGAAAAGAGATACCTTCACTGAACTTCTTTTTTTTTAAATTTTTTATGTTTAAATGATAAGCAACTCTCAGAACATCATTTATTGTAAACTATTATTTTATGATAAGTTAAACTTTAAAAATAATCACAATAAAATTATGATAATTTAGTATTTAGTTTAAGTTAATAATAAGAAATTTCCATTTAACATATTGAAGAATATGACACAACAACTTTCTGTTGTTGGATTATTTATTCTGAATAGTTTCACTATTTTAAAAAAATGTACATTTCACTTTCTAAAATCTTAAATAAGATAATCAGATTGTTCGAAATGTATTGCGCTAATATATCACATAGTTCTGATCATCTTCGTCTTCTTATTACATTATGGAAATTTATCAAAGGAACTAATTGCTGTGAACTTATCGTTTATTCTTATTTCATAGTTTCTTAAACGTTAGCAAACAGATTATTCATATACATCAGAAGAACTTTTAACTACCAGTCTATTGAGATAGCATGTTTTTCAATAAACATTATATTACATTAGTTCTACCTTTAGTTAGTTTTTTTCTTCTGAATCAACATGAATAACTAAATTAATGTCGGAAGTAAAAATTAAATGTATTTAAAACAAGCAGCAGCAGGAACAACAACAACAACAAAGAATAACAGGGAATTACAGTACTAAATTTGTGTCCAATTTAAAGCGAGAGAGAAAAACATAGTGATAGACAAGTGTTAATCTAATATCCTTATTAATTGAATGTAGTTTTATTAGGTTGTAACGTCTGTATTATTTAGTTCAAATTGTTTTATTAAATAGAACAATGAAAAATAAAACAAATAGACATAAATCGTTGGACTGGTTTTAAGAAATGCTGTTCACCGGTTAGTTATTACGTTAAAGATATCAATCAAAATCAAGTATTGAACATCTATTTCATACTTGTCTAATATGATGTATATTTAATTCTTCTCATTAATCTCAATATCTTTTTCAAGTTTAACAGCATACATTTTCCACTGGATTATAATAAAATTGAATCAATGTTTGTTAGTGTTAGGTTCTATATATTTTTACAACAATTTTATAATTTTAATAGTTGAAATCATAAGTCAATTGGAGATAGATCACAATGGAAGATCTGAAAGCACTGAACGGCTGTTCTGTTCTATTGTGGAACTCTTCAGCAGTGCGCATCCACGATCCCGCCTCTCGAGATTCGAACTCAGGATCTATCAGTTTCGCGCATGAACGCTTAACCTGTAGACCACTGAGCCGGTCGGCATCCAACGGTGTTAATGTCTAACTTCAACTAATCCACGAAATTGAGCTACGAATGTCTTCAGTGAGTTACTATCTCACAACAGACTCATGATCTCAACTATTAAAATTTCCATAATATCCACAAAAAACCCTGTCTGATAATAAATTTATAATTATACAACTGAAGAGTTCTAGAGTTTCAGATTTTCAGAAGTTGTTTCTTCATATTAAAATCACCGAAATATCCAGAAAACCTGAAGGATTATTTCTGCACTTATAATGCAATTAATTAGTGAAATCTTGACTAATAGAAGAATAAAATATAATGTATTCTGTCAAATAGTTTTCAGACAATGTAGTAGTAAGTGGAAATGGAATTTCGCACTTTGTTGGTACTAAGAATTACGAAATAACTAAAAGATGCATAAAACCAATACAAATAACTTATGTCATCGATTAAAAATTTTGTTTTATTTGAACGAATATCTTAGCAAAAAAAGAGATATCTAGTGTCTAAAATTTAGGAAATTATTGTAATTAGCTGCAATTAAACTGAACAATGAACGCTATCTTTATGTAAACGTTTATCAACAAAGCATAGGAAAGTTTCAGGTAAATTATTTCCTCACATATTTATGCAAAATAAATGTTAACCCAGGAACGTTGCTATTTACATTAAGAAAACAGTCTCAAATTAATAAATTTCATCATACATTTGGTATTAAATAATGTGCTTTTTTCTCTCTTTCCATACCGTATTCTCCACACATTCCTACCAAATTATTTCGTTTCCTTCATTATTCTTGTTTTTTCATTTCGTCATTTTAATTTGATATGGCAATTTGGGCCAACATACAGCTGTACCAGTTCTTAGGTTGATCATATCTGACTGACCTAATGCTTTAACAATGTTTGTTAACATTTTGTTGCAAACCATATCTTTTCATCTTTCTGACTAATTTTCACACATGTAAAAGAATGCTGAGGATCAATATACTGGATTTATGATAAGAAGATAAATGCAAAGAAATATTCTGAAATAACCTGAATTGCGAGACTCCTAAGATCAAAAAATATTACCACATTTGTTGTCCATTATCATACCGTTATTTCAAAAAAAAATTTATCCTAAGTATTGTTAAACTATTAAACACAATTTTCGGAAAACATCATTTCATCAACATGTGTGTTGATGGGATGTAATACCTCTTCAAATATCGGGTAACATATTCATGAAATAAATGTGTAAAAAAACGTCTAAACAGTATGTGAATGAGTTTTCAAATGTTTTAATTTTATCATAAACCTGTAACTGAATTTTTTATACTGAGTTTATAAAAAATGAAGTATTTGAGTCTTTTTGTCGAGTGTACTACTGATATCGATATATATAAGTAATATGTGAAATACTTGGAGACAGAAGGTAAAAAGATCGAAGAAAATAGGACGAGAACAGAGAATGATTGCTATGGGAACGAAGGAATAATGAAGTCTGAAACCGTTAACTGATATTTTGCAAATGAAGTAATTACTTGTCAGTTTAGGGATTGTGGAGATTATAAAGTTTTTGTTTGAGATCATGAACCAATTGATGTTAGACCACCATTAAAAACCTGGAAGCACTGGACGATCGTTTCGTCCCATTATGAGACTCCTCAGCAGTGCGCATCCACGATCCCACTCGCGGGATTCAAACCCAGGGCTTTCAGTGTTGCACGCGAACGCTTAACCTGTAGACCACTGAGCCGGACAGCATCCAACGGTGTTAATGTCTAACCTCAACCAATCCACGAAGTTGCGCAACCATCTTTGATCGTACTGAGCTGGATACCTGTTTCTACCAGACACGGATTAGCTCCAGTGCTTCCAGGTTTTCAATGGTGGTCTAACATCAATCGGTTCATGATCTCAATCAAGAAGTATTTACTGTAATTTTGTGTTCAAATACATTCAATTGTATTCAATTGTGCTCTCGTTCACTACACTTTGATTGTATAAATCGACTGCAATCTATGTTTTATCATACTCGAATATATATAAAATTATCAGTCGTTTATATACTTTCAAAATGTATAATTCTAAAGTAATTTAAACAAGTTTTTTTTCTCCAGTTTTCAAGTTGTTTTGTTTTTTCTTTCTTTTTGGTCATTAATGTCAAATATATTTAAATTGAACTAATTACAATTTGAAATGACCTAAATTCAAATTTTATATGTTGTTCGCTTAGTAATAAATATAAATTTTTTCCTTATTTTTATTTAAAGCTTAGCTATTTTAATAAATGACTTCTATCTTTATTAAACTATTAGATGAAGTTATTTCTTTTCTTGAATTCTAGTTCCTTTACCAGACACAATTTCAGGAAGCATCACTTTGTAGACGAACGCATGGTTCCTTAAATTTATTTTTTGTTATTGAATAAAAACTAAGATTGCACGACTAATTAATTAAAAAGGTTACATAATTTGCATACATATTAGTCTCTACATGTTAAAGATATGTTTTGAAATGGTTCATTAATTTCTTTTTAACATACATTCAATGGTTTGTGGTTGACCAAAATTTATATTAACTCAAAAATAGCAATAAACTTATTACGTTCAAACGTTAGTATTATAATATACAAATTATAAGTTATAAACACAAGCAAAAATTTAAAGGATGTTACTTAAATCAGCAAGTTGGTGGGTGTTTGGTTGCGTTTGGTTCCAGAATCCACAATTATAGATGATTAATAATCCCAGTAAAGTTGTTATGATTCCAGTAATATAGCCAAGCGTAGAATATAATGGAAATGTCGCCGCAATCTATAGATGTAGATAATAGATGTTTCAGAATTCAGTTAATGGAACCACAAGCAATGGAGAAAAAAAGACGTGTGTATAGTGGTGTATTTACGAACGGTTAACGATGTGTTACACAACGGAAGAATGTATGTTCAACGTCATACAATTAAACGACATGTACAATCATTTTGAGGTAAATGTACAGACAGTAAAAATTTACAAAATAAATGCAAATAATGTCAAAAACTCAAAATATGTTTGTCATGCCTATCTCCACAGGATATAGGTTAAATGGTTCTATTTCATGACAAATTACTGTTAAATTCGTTGTAATCACTCAAAACAAAACGTTAATATGGTCATTTATGAAACTCAAACATACTATTCTAAATAGTTTCAGAACATAGTATTTAAGTAATCTCATACGAAAAAAATGTTTATTTTTGTTTAAACCATAGTTTCGAATCATTTGACATATATGTGTTCATCATAAGCCACAAATGTTTAAAACCAGAAAGTATTCAAATGATATGTATTTTTTCACTGACCATACTATAGAGAATAAACATTTTATTCAACTAAATGACTAAACTCACTTATCGCGATAAATATGGTGATAAATTAGAAAGAATCTATTAATCTAGAAAGGATGAATTTCATTAAACCATGGATCAGTATCTGTTTCATTCCAAGTATGTAGTTTCATTTGGTAATATATAATTTGAATTGTATAGTACCATTTGAAAACTTAGTCACTGGTAAGTGATTAGAAACAATCTGTAGTATTGACAATTATATAAATTCTTAGAATCCGTTTTACTAACGACAATTATTTTATTTTCAAGTCGAAATTTTAATGGTTTCCATGACTGATATCTCCTTGCCAGATGCTAATTTAATTTGACTCACCTAAAGACTTTTCCCTGATCCCTTAATTAGTTTTTAGTGTGTCGCTTTTTATCTGACTGCCAAAGAAAACGAAGAGCTTCTAGTATCTCCATAGTGTCTGAATTTATACAACTATTCAAGTTTCCTCAAAAATGTCTAGTTTTCATCCTAATTCATTTCATTTTATCATTGGTAATTTTTAGTGGTCATGTCATTCAATGAAGGAAATCAGTTTGCTTGCTAAAATGCCTGATGAACGTATGATATGGATCTGCTATGTGACCCATCATTCTTCCGAAAATCGTCCTAATCTACTTGCGGAAAGTGGTTGCATGGTCCCAACGGTAAGTAGTATCTCGATGTAGTCAATTAACCTCCTAAATGGATTTTTGTTTAGAGTAGCAGTGATTAAGTGACATAGTGTTTAAAGTATTGTTACACTTATATGCGTCATTTTCTTTTTATCTCGACAAATGACTTTTTTCAATCAGCTGCCTCAACTAATCATATGATTCACAAATCAATGGAAGATGTCACTTAACACATCTCATAACAGTTACCCAGGGCTTGAGATTTTATCGCATATTAAGTTACGTTTTCCAATAATTTGATGCTCTGAATTATAAGTATATTCAAAACACACCATGGTTTTCATCTGTATACAAAAGTCGAAAAATATTTTTGATTTACTTGAAGTGATGATTAGTCAGTGATCTAGTTGACATGACTGTATTGCCTAATTATATCATATTTTATTTAATTTCATTTATCAGCTAATAGAAATCCGAAAGTCATATAATCGTCTAATATTAAATCAATACGTCTGTGAGCAATTATTCGAGACTGCAAAGACTGATATAATGTCGACTGTATCACCCATTGCAACCAATTTTTTCTCGCTGAAGGAAGTTATTTGTTTATCCTACGCTCTTATTTTTAGCAACTTAAGTATTTGTTCGGCCATTCTTAGTCGCAGATTTCTGTTGCTTTTATTCATGTGTATGTCCATACACATACAAGTTGATGTGCGTAATATGATGAGGTACCATCATTACAATCGGTCTGGATTTTCGCTAAAGCATTGACTTTGACTATTCAATTATGACTAAATGGATTGCGTAAAAGGTACTTGTGATCGTTAATTTGTTTTCGTTTCAACATAAGACTATTTGAATCACCACTGAAAAGTAGAATGAAGTTAACATACTATTGGCCCAAAAATCGTAATGGGTTTCGTCATATGACTGCTTATCCATCAGCTTACGAATTTCAGTGAATAACCATTCTTCTTCAATATTTTAATTAAGAGCTTTCTGCTGAGGCATTAAAAACGCTCTTTCTGACTTTTAATTGGAATACAGATTGGCAATGTGTGGATCTGACGATAGCTTCAAATTAGTTACTGTCTAAAATTGGAAATAATCTAATCATACCTACCTTGTGATTGGATTCATATATATACGGATTTTTAACACTCACATACACACTATTGGTTTCCCTGTGTGTTTGCTTCCTGTACGTTTGCGGATTTTACCAATTTTTAACAATAAACTATCTCTATAACTGGTGTTGAGGCTTTTGAATAATCTCGAGTAAATCCATAGTTCTACTAGGAAATTCGGCTTGCATTAAATACTCAGTTAACGGGGTACTGTTTATTGGAGTCAGATATAGAGGAAATTAGCCACTACAAGGTTTTTATCTCCTCTGGTCAATGATTTTTATAGATATGATGAGTGACTAAATAAGTTACATGCTTCGTCGCATCTCTTCACAAAGTACTTGATTTCAAAAGAGGAAATGTACTTTATGTACTGAGGTAATTCATTTAATCTGTTAGACTGCTGAATAACCAATTCATACAGATACATTAAATTGATATTTATTGCTTTGAATTAATGAAGTTTTGTACCAGTCACGTTCCAAACACTATTCTACAACTAATGTAATTTATAATCACTTATTGTTGATGACTTGAGATGACATCTTCCTCATGATGATGTTACATACCTTGGCGTATTTAAATATAACTTTTCTAGTTGATTTTAAAAAAAAACCATGGGGGAAAATACCAGATGCCAGCTTTGTTATAGTACAACATATCTGAAGAAATTGTCTCAAATTGTTAAGACTTTTATACTTAGATGTTAAACACTACTGAACTTTAAGGTCATGATTTCGTTTAACATCAATAAAACTAGTACACTAACTAATAAATGCTAACAATGGGGAATATAAAATATACCAACGGTTGGTTTTCAGCATACTTTCGACTATCACAAAAATAAAATTTACGACAAAATCCTAGAGGATTTTTTTATAAATGTATAAACTGAGAGAGTTGTATCTGTATAGTAATCAGCACATTACTTAATTACATATTTTATGTTTACTTGGTGTTGCTTACTTGTATCTTTCCATTATTATTTAGGACTACAATTGATCAGTCTCTTATTAAAATACGTGCACCCTGTGCAGACGGCCTTGATATTGTCTAAGGTCACGGGCTTTATAAGCAAAGATGGATAGTGGCTAGTAGTGGAATCCAAGACGCGCGTTTTGTCCTCTTTAGGACTCGTCAGCTGGATATACCTGCATCTTAGAGTTGATGTTTACTCAGTACCTAAGTGGATAACGCGATGGCGTTTAGAGTGAACGGTACTGGGTTCGAGTCCTAGAGTGAACATCAACTCTGATGCGAGTACATCTAACTGACGAGTCCCAAATAGGACGAACCAGGCGTCCTGTATTCCACTGCTATCCACTATCCGTCTTTTCTTACATATTTTATAGTTTAATTAAGATAAATCAATATAATAAAACTTCAATTAAGTTGAATAAAAAGTATGAAATTACTTCCGTAAACTATCAGTACTAATTAGAAATATCATTTATGAATTAAGTTCATCTGTTGCGTATATAATTGTTGTTTTGTTCTTGGCATATGAATAATTAGAAGAGCCTCGATTCTAATAAATTATATTATCTATCAATAATTGTCATTAGATAGATTGGATTGAAACTATTTATTTTATTTACTGATATATAATGTACATATATTTAACAGTACTAAATAAAACAACAATTATCAGTATTAGAGTTGTGGAGATTATTGAGTTTTTTATTAAGATCATCAACCGATTGATTTTAGACCACCATTAAAAATCTGGAAGCATTGGACGGCCGTTTCATCCTATTGTGTAACTCCTCAGCAGTGCACATCCACGATCCCACTCGCGGGATTCAAACCCAGGGCTTTCAGTGTTGCACGCGAACGCTTAACCTGTAGACCACTGAGCCGGTCCGCATCCAATGGTGTAATGTCTAACATCAACCGATCCACGAAATAGTGCAACCATCTTTCATTGAACTGAGGTAGATACCTGTTTCTACCAGACACGGCATAGCTCCAATGATCACGGCTTCTCACTAGAACTCCGAGAATTCTTTTACGTAGCTAGTCACTAGTGAGCACATGTTAATTATCAGTATTGGGGTTGTGGAGATTATTACGTTTTCGATTGAGATCATGAACCGACAGATGTTAGACCAGCGTTGGAAACTGAAGGCCATGGGTTCGAATTCCGCGAGCAGGATCGTAGATGCGCACTGCGGAGGAGTCCTATAGTAGGACGAAACGACCGTCCAGTGCTTCCAGGTTTCCAACGATGGTCTAACATCAGTCGGTTCAAAATCTCAATCAAAAACAACAAATGTGATAAGAGCATTTTGATTTTCGAAGAAACAAAATGCAATTTTGAATAGAATAACTAAGTTTTTGAACTTTAATATAGTTTTCATTTTTAGAAACAAACCTTCTGAATTAAAATTTAAAAAACGACGTTGATACCATTTTGTTAATGATAATTCTTTAAGTCAAAGAAAAGTGATATAAAGAATCAATCAGAAGTATCTAAAGTTCAAGTGCATTTCATTGGGGTAGGCTTCCTAAGAATAGGCTAGTATATATATATATATATATATATATATATATATATATGAGTTTTTGTGCATTTTATTCTGTAGTCCAATAAAATTTCTCTCTCAAGTAGTCAGTTGAGGATTAGCGCATAGCCAAACTGCGTATCAGTACCAGATTTCGACCATGGTACGTTAAAACAAATCGTTTTATTGAAACGGCAAATATACGTTCTCTATTAACAAATTTTTTTATGCAATCAAATAACTAAAGTTGGTTAAGTTTCCTAAAAATAATTTAGTGATATCAACAAATTCTAAAAAGAGACATAATTGATTAAATTGATCAGTATTTTATTAAGGCGGGTGGTCAACTAATATGAATGAAATTTTAATAGTTGAATTCATGAGTCAATTGAAGCTACACCACCATAGAAAACCTGCGAGCACTAAACGGCCGTTTTGTCCTAGTACGGGAATCCTCAGTAGTGCTCATCTTCGATCCCACTCGCGGGATTCGAACCCAGGGCCTATCGGTATCGTGCGCCAACACTTAACCTGTAAATCACTGTGCCGGGATCCAACGGCAACCAATCCACGAAATAGCTCCACCATCTACCATTGTCATCAGTGAGTTACTATCTCACGACAGAACTGGTTGAACTCTACTGATCATTGCTTTTCATTAGAACTCCAGGAAATACCTCTTGGTTACCGTCACTAGTGAGCATATGATGATTATAATGAGAGAGAGGTTTAGTGGATATTATAGTAATTCAGTAATTGAGTTCATGAGTCGATTGAAGCTAAACTGATAGATCCTAAGTTGGAATCTCGTGGGACAGGATCGTGGATGCGCGCTGCTGAGGAGTCCAACAATAGTTCAAAACGATCGTCCAATGCTTTCAGGTTTCCCATGGTGTTCTAGTTTTAATCGACTCATGAATTTAATTATTAAAATTACCATAATATCCAAAAAACCCCTCCCTGACTATAATACGAATGAAATAAGTAAAGTTTTTGCCAATATAAATCTAAAGATATTTCATGCATAGAAGTATTAAATTCATTTATGAACTAGGATAATGTTTAAATTATGATATCCTTTGATAAACGTTTTGTATATACCACGAATCAAAAGAAATTATTCGAAAAAATCAATATAACTCAATTCAATAAAACCAACAACAAAAAAGAATTTCATGTAAATAGTAGATCAGAAAAATGGTAAAAACTGACTCATGTTGCTAAGTTTGTGAAAGTTTTATTTATTGTACCAGCAGAATAGCAACAACAACAACAACAACAACAAAGATATTGAAAGAATAAAAAAAACTTTTGAGACGTGATTAAAATCTTTATTTAACATTGAAAATTCAAATGTTAATTCATTCTTATTCATTTGTTTTTGATATATCACGTTCTATGAACATTCTGAAGAAAAGACTTAAATTTGTAACTAACCTAAGACATTTGAATAGGATATGTAGTATTTGAAATTTAAAAACATATAAAAAGTACGATTATTCTGCCCTCAATAGACTAATTATTTATCGATAAAGTGGATTTGTTGTTATACTTATCGGCGTATATATATATATATATATATATATATATATATATATATATATATATATATATATATTCATTAACTCTTCTTTAATATGTACACTTGGTTATACATATATGAATAATTATATTTGATAGTTTATGGTGTGAATTCATGAGATTAATTCATTCTTACAGATTACTTATACTTCAATCTTAGTTTGAAATTTATTTTTGACCTTTGTGCGATTATGTAATCTATAGTGATTCTGTTTTGTATACTTGATATTAGTTAAACAATTTGCTGATTAAACAAAATTTGTAGAAAATTTAATAAAATGTTATAGGTTATACAATTAAATGAAAACTATTGGGAAATTAGAGTCAGAATATTTTCAAGTACTTTTACAGGCGAGGGAAATGTATAATATCAGAAGGGGTTTTATGGAGATTTTAGTAATTTCAATAGTTGAAATCATGAGTCAATTGAAGCTAGACCATCATTGAGACTGATGGGTCCTGGGTTCGAATGTCGCGGGAGGCGGGAAATGTATATCTTAAGATTTATACAACAAATGGGTCACTATTGAATATTTATAAAACAGTGTTTATCATGACAACTACTCTTAGTTATTCTTTTTTGTCTGTACAATTAAATATTAATTATATTACATACTATGCCAGTTACACACATGGTCTAGCCAAAACCCTGCATACGGGTATAAGAATACGTTACTTAAACTTTCTGGACAACATAACTAAAGTGTTATCAATGACTTTATATCTGATTGTAGGGTCTGTTAAGTATTTTACCAAATTGTTAAACTTTTCACATCAGCTCAAGTTAATATAGAGTTATTAGTATGGGGTTGTGGAGATTATTATGTTTTTGATTGAGATCATCAACCGATTGATGTTAGACCACCATTGAAAATCTGGAAGCATTGGACAGCCGTTTCGTCCTATTGTGTAACTCCTCAGAAGTGCGCATCCACGGTCCCGCCCGCGGGATTCGAACCTGGAGCCCTCTGAGCTGGTATCCAACGGTGTTAATGTCCTGCAAACAGGATCGTGGGTGTGCACTGCTAGTGAGTCCCACAATAGGACGAAACGGTCGTTCAGTGCCTCCAGGTTTTCAATGGCGGTCTCACATCAGTCGGTTCATAATCTCAGTCACGAAGTAATATAAAGTTGTTTATTTATTTTCGATTCCGTTGTTAATTCAACTTTCAAACTGTGATCTATTTTTCTTTGTTAGGTTGAAAATCTGGCCATACCATTAATTCAATGGGAAAATCCTCATTTCAATTCACTATATCCTGATAAACCACCCAGTGTTCTTAATGCAGCTGACGGATTCACTTATATATCTGCATTTACTCTAGAATACTTGCGTATATTTCGTGCTTATATGCCAGATTGGAATGGAAATTTCAATTGGACAGGTGCATTGGTCACCGATAAAAATCCAACATTTATAGCAGGTGAGCTCCAGTAATAAATATTCAATCACTAATTAGCACAATTGAGAATATAGACATTCAAAATTCAACTTCTTTGTTCAATATTTTTTAAGAAACTCTTATTTGTTTCCAATGGCTGACGAGGATTTTGTTTCACTTTTTAAGAAATTTAGCATCCTACGATAATGACTTATAAATAAATCAATCTACATTTTACATATGCTACTCTTTCAAGAAACAATGCAATAGGTGCATTTTATAATTTTAATTTTTTGTGTCTGTCATAAATTCGAGAGACAAATAAATCGTCGGAATGGCATTTAGGGATAAAACGAACACTCACTCTATATTCAAGTGATATATCAGACGAAACTGCATACACACAGACTACAGAATGAACTGCAACCTTTTTTGTACATATATAAATAATGATGTTAAGTTATTTCACTAAATGCATAGTTTTATCAATGTATCTGGTTCGATGACAAATACTTAAAAACTAAATGAATATATGTGTTAACTTGAAGTCAGCAACTAAACATTAAGGTGTAATGTCAAGTAACATTGAATCTTTATTTACTAAATAGGAAGTTTTGGCAAGTATCTCTTTCTTAGAAAATTTGTACTATAACTGACTGGTTCGCTTTCAATGTTTGAGTATATTTCACAGTTCTGATTGTACTTTTCAAGGGATGCAATTATCTGACAAAATTCATCTCTGTTATTAACAGTAATAAGTTTTATCTAGTTTATGTACATACATTTCCGGTTGGTTTGTTAACGTTAATATTTGACAAAACGTGCTTCACTCATTTCCAATAAAGTAGGGATATTTAAAAAGTTATAATCTCCCACTGTACTACTTTGAAATATTGAAATGCTGGTTAAGAATATATATGGCTCGTAGCGTAATCTCATGTACATTATGATTTCTTTTTCTTAATTTGACAGATAATAGTTTATTTCATATAGAAAAAACTATTCGTGAAAAATATTCTATTATTTTTATTTCACTATGAAGAAGTTGCTCTCGAAATTCATCCCATCTTATAAAACTTTCACAGTAGATTTACTCTTTAAATTATTAAACCTTTAAAGAAATTTTGATAGTGTAATAAGAAAATAAAGATTATCAGAATTATGTGATATATTAACGCAATACAATTCGAACAATCTGATCACACATATTAGTTTATTATCCAAGGTAATAAGGTTTCAAATTGTTTTCACATTATTTCTTTATTATCCTTGTCTCCTCTTACTCTCCTCTCACCCATTTCTAGTCTAGTTGGTCTTAACAAGTATATGTATGATCAGATTGTTCGAAATGTACTACGCTCATATATCACATAGTTTTAAGAATCTTCGTCTTCATTATTACACCAACGAAATTTATCAAAGGGCCTAATTATTTTAAATGTCTTTATAGAATTGATTACGGAAATGTATTTTTGAAAAAAAACCAAAAAAAGAAACTAATCACTTCTGTTTTTGCTTGTAAATTCTAAAACATACACTTTTTTTTTAACTATTTACAAGTAAATGGATTTTATTATCTTTCTAGAATTGTCAGTTCACTTTCATTAAATCGTATTATCAGTTATGATTGTTACAATAATCTATCACCATTGTATAATGGAACATGAATTTTCTTTTCCCAAGGGCAAATTTCATTCATCATACCTGATGATATTAAAATTATGCAATAAATCTAGAAATGTTCTGTTTGTGTTTTTTCTTTTTTTCTTTTTTGTTTTAATTCACAACAAACACTTTAAATGAAGAATGAGTTTATCTGAATTGAATATTACTCTAACATAGTTTATTATTAAAGACTGGAATTAGTTAGATAATATGAAATTGTTGATTATGATATGGACCATAGTTGAAACACAATTATTTACTTACTTACTTACTTACGCCTGTTACTCCCAACGGAGCATAGGCCGCCGACCAGCATTCTCCAACCCACTCTGTCCTGGGCCTTCTTTTCTAGTTCCATCCAATTCTTGTTCATTCTCCTTATGTCTATCTCCATTTTTCGGCGTAATGTGTTCTTTGGTCTTCCTGTCATCCTTCTACCTTGAGGATTGCATGTGAGAGCTTGTTCTGTGACGCAGCTCGGTGCTTTCCTCAATGTGTGTCCTATCCACTTCCAGCGCTTCTTCCTGATTTCTTCCTCCACTGGGATCTGATTTGTTCTCTCCCACAGTAGGTTGTTGCTTATAGTGTCCGGCCAGCGGATCTGAAGTATTTTGCGTAGACAACTGTTAATAAACACCTGTATCTTTTGGACGATGGATTTCGTAGTTTTCCAGGTTTCCGAACCATACAGTAGAACTGTCTTGACATTTGTATTGAAAATTCTGACTTTGGTGTTGGTTTACAATTGTTTTGAGTTCCAGATATTCTTCAGTTGTAAATATGCTGCACTTGCTTTGCCGATCCGTGCCTTCACATCTGCATCAGATGTGACCGTGTTCATCGATGATGCTGCCCAAATATGTAAATTGGTTTTACATCTTCCAAATCTTCTCCATCAATTAAGATTGAATTGATGCGTGCTGTGTTGTATCGGAGAATTTCGCCTTTCCCTTTGTGTATTTTGAGACCTACTGCTGCTGAGTCTGCTGCTACAGCGGTTGTCTTCTTCTGCATTTATTGTTGCGTGTGCGATAGAAGAGTCAGATCATCTGCGATGTTTAGATCATCCAATTGCGTCCTGGATGTCCACTGTATCCCGTGCTTCTCTTCAGATGTTGACGTCTTCATGATCCAGTCGATCACCAGGAGAAAGAGAAAGGGTGAGAGTAAGCAACCTTGCCTGACACCGGTCTTTACTTCGAACGACTTTGTCAACTGTCCTCCATGAACGATTTCGCAGTTTAATCCATCATAGGAATTCTGTATGATATTGACTATCTTCTGAGGCACGCCATAGTGTCGAAGAAGCTTCCATATTGTTGTTCTGTCCACACTGTCAAATGCTTTTTCGTAGTCAATGAAGTTGATGAAGAGTGATTGTTCTACAATGATCCGTAGAGTTGCGATTTGGTCTGTACACGATCTATCCTTACGGAATCCTGCCTGTTGGTCTCGAAGTTGGGCGTCTACGGAGTCCTTCATCCTGTTTAACAATACCCTGTTGAAGACTTTTCCTGGTATTGAGAGAAGAGTGATTCCCTTGTACTTGTCACTGTTGCTAAACACAATTATTTAGTGTTTATTAAACTTTTTTCAATGATCTTCAAGTCATTAGATAATTCTTCTTTCATTGTTATTAATTGCTTTTAGTTAGGTAGCTGAATAAATAAAATTTGTTATGCTATGGGAATTTATAACTTACTGAACCATCAAGCTTTATTAATTATTTGTCAAAATAATACCACTTCTATAGCAACTATATAGAAAATATTAAAATGTCAGACAGTTAATTAATAATTTAGTAGTTGAATTCATGAGTCGACTGAACTTAGACCACGATAGAAACCTGGAAGCATTGGACGGCCGTTTCATCCTAGTATGCGACTTCTCAGCAATGCGCATCCATGATCCCACACCCCGCGTGAATCGCACCCAGGGCCTATCGGTATCGTGCGCCAACACTTAACCTGTAAATCACTGAGCCGGGATCCAACGGCAACCAATCCACGAAATAGCTCCACCATCTACCATTGTCATCAGTGAGTTACTATCTCACGACAGAACTGGTTGAACTCTACTGATCATTGCTTTTCATTAGAACTCCAGGAAATACCTCTTGGTTACTGTCACTAGTGAGCATATGATGATTATAATGAGAGAGAGGTTTAGTGGATATTATAGTAATTCAATAATTGAACTCATGAGTCAATTATTACTTAAAATATGTAATTTAATTTAACGTTCTTATAAGTTGGTTTTGAAGATTGTTTGTGGGACATGAAGTTAATTTTTATCTTGAAATGACATTAGTTAGACAACATTAGACAAATTAGCTGGTTTAATAAATATGAAACCCGCCATTATATATAGGCGATGACTAAAATCCTTTGTGAGGTCTAAAGTGCTCACTACTAAATTGACTCAAAATATCTGGAGAACTACTGTTTTGTGCTCACTGACTTTTGCAAGCTTTTGAGTTTATGTTATTTTTGTTTAAAGAGGTTTTCTAATATCCCTTCATCAGTGTAATATATAATGTAATTTAGTCCTCCTTTGTATTTTATTACTTGCTTGCTGATATTGATAGAATTGTATTTGGTTTTCATTGAACTAGAAATATGACTTCATATTCACATTGTTTTACAGTTTGCAAAAGGATTTACTCGAATCCATATCATCATTAAAATTAGACATTGGACTTCTCGTTTAAAAACTATTTCACGCGGTGACATCCTTTATAACTTCTTTTATTTGGTAAATATCTAAGCAAGAATATGAATAAAGCTTTTGAATTTTCATTTTTCTTCAATTCTCAAAGACGAAATTAACTTTATGTATACGAAAGTGTAAAAACAATTAATTATTTAAATGGAAATGATTCAGATGACAACCTCTTACCTGATATAAATAGACTACTAATCACAGTTCCAAATATAAGTAGTGAAATATAGTCCCGATAGTTTGAATAAAACAAAAGTAAAGTTACTACACAAAGCCAACTGACGAAAATGCGAAAACCATCTAGTTTCGTATAAATACGCATCTACTGTTACATTAGAACTTGGTGGACATAAGAAAAGAATTCATGGAATAAAAAAGCCTTTTATAGGTGGTAAGGAGACATAATAGATTGTTCTATTGACAGCTATCGGAGTATTTGGGTAATATCAAAACCCATCACATTTAAATATGACATTGAAATGTATTCTTTGAGCTTATAGATTGCTTTTGAAGGTACCGTTTATCCCCAAAATTTTGTTATAATTCCAGAAAATTTAGAGAATAGTGTATACTACTTTCTTCTTTTATTTATGCATAATTTTAGAACCCGCGCAAATTTTATTAACTTTCGAAACAATTGATGAAATTTATTTCGTTCTTCGAGAACAACCAAATTCACAAATGTCTAAATGTGAAGTAAATGTAGGTAGTTCTATAAACCATTTATCTAAAGTTGAAAAATTAAAACGATTGCACCAGCCTTACTGTTTAACAAGTGTTGCACGTTTAGTAAGAGTTTGTAAAGGTGATCCAGGTGGTTTGCCATATATTAGCTCAAATCGTTTTGCTACATTTGCAAAAGCTGACCTAATCTGTCCAGCTACAAATGAAAATGGTGGATATTTTAGCTACACACACATTTCAACAGCTTATTGGGATAATAATACACAATTACTTTACGCAACATTTACAACGGAAAAGTAAGTTTTACATAACCTGTAATTATTGAGTTTTAAATACTAAAACATTAGTATTTACACAACCTTTGATTGACAGTTGAAATAAACCCTGAGAAAATATGTATCAGGTTTTTTGTTGTTGTGATAAATCATTTCAAATCTAAAATTACTTCACAATTATTTGACAACTAATATGAGATTTTGAATGATATACAACAGCGGAATATTTTACGATTGTTTTATTAACTAAATTTACATTCATTCATGTAAATCCATAACACTATTTCTGTCTATAGTAATTTATTCACTAGACTAGTGACTAACGGTAGATCACTGTTGTTCAACAAGCATTATATATTCATCATTGTTGAAAAATTCCTTATTTAACTAGTGTTAATTGTTTGAGACATATATGATGTATCTATATAGATAGTCAATAATGAAAATATAAACAATCTATCAATTTGAACAACTTTAGGTCACTTGTTCAAAGAATCCATTTATACTAACAGTGCTTGGTTAAATCAATTTTGAACGTAAATGAAAAGCCATTCAACTAATAATTATATGATTGTGATTCACAAACTTATTTCAATGATGAAATAAGTAATAATCTTAGTATGTTTAGTAAATCTTCTTAACTTCTATCACATCATTAACTGTTCGTAGATTATCTGATTAGCTACTGATAAAATTTAATGACATCAGAATATATCGTTTTTCTTTTGTAAATATTTTGAATTAAGTATGAACGATAGAGACACGGTAGGTGTCCAAAATAATCTGATCTAGACTGACGTATGAATCAGACCAAATTATACTATCAACTTAACAGTTTGTTTCTTTTTTGTTTCTCTGACGATAGTAATCACTATTTAAAGACACATTGTCTCAAAATATCAAAGACTTTAACTGAATCTTTAGCAAATTTCTTCATTTGTACTCTAGTAAAAAACATGGATTATTCTATACACTAAAACTGCGGATTTTCCAGACATTTAGTTAAATAAACAATGTATATCTTAAGGAACTAATCACTGTTCAGTTTATGTTACTTCTGGAGGGCTTATGACTTTCAGTCTGTACGAAATTAGTAGTAACATTTGTAATGAAGTTTTAGTTATTTAGAACTAGTAAAACTATGATATCGCAATATTATTGACGGAATGTGATTAAGACTAAGGATTATGAAACATGAGATGGGTCGCCATTCGGATCTTACTAAGAACGTCAACTTCCTGATTATCTTAGATGACCTTCGCTTAATGTATACCAACTAATGGAAATTAAAGACCAATTCTTTATGCTGATTTCTCTAATTACCCAGTATCAATCAGTACTACTTTACATGTAAATATATAATTCTTATCATACTAAATTAAAACGAATTATATCTACTTCTAAGTCATATGAATTAAACCTAAATATCTAGTTGTTGTTTAGCTAGATGACTAGCCCACATCCTCACTGTTAAGATGCTCAAAACATTCAAACAGCTATATACACCAATGTATGGTAAGCATAAACTAGTAGTTTTTAACATTAGTTAAATTCTTTAATTAAAGTCAACTAACATTAAATATAATTCGTTTATTTGGTTGTAGATCAGCTCCAGTTGGAAGTGCTTTATGCATTTATAGTTTGAATGAACTTAAAGCTTCGTTCAATGGACCACTAGTTCGCACTAATGAAAAACAAAATGATTTAAAATCGTCTCCTGTACCCAATTCATTTTCAAATATTGTAAGTATTTTTTTGCTTTTTCAGACTTCTCTATAAAGTGAAGACGTACACAGAGTACTTAAGAATTCACATTTCAGTTGGCTTAGATAAAATAATATATTCTTATGTATGATATATCCTGCATAACTTATGTTTATATACTAGATGCATATGAGTTAAGATTCGGCAAAATCTAAGTTTCTGAAATCGAAAGTATCGAAAAAACATACATTTCTAACACGCATTCCATGTCATACAATGAGGAAAAGAACTACTGATATTTTACTGGAAGCACAATTTCAATCATAATCTGTTGAATATTGAAAATTTCTTTAAACAGTGTTACCCACTCAATATTTTCCACAGCTCCCACATACTTTTATATATGTGCACAATGTTCCAAGTCACTGTTTATTTATATTTAATTTTAGTTTATTTTTATTAAAGTTATTTAGATAATAATAATTTATATTCAGCTTTTGTCCTGTCTTCGGCTTGATTAAAATCGGTAAACACATTCCTTGTATATATAGTTAGTTATTTCAATGATCATCATGTGTAACGTCATTTAAAAGTACCCAAATTTATCATTGAAATCACTAAGATTGCTGATGATACATTCAAAACAAAATGTCCAATTAATGAGTGTAATTCATACATTATTGAAAGTTTCTTAGTTCAGTACCCTTCAGCTTTTCTTAATAATATTGAATGAAAACATCAACTATAGACTTTCTATAGTCAGTGACAGTTTCGAAGTAAATGAATATTCCTTAATTTGTACAGATGAAATGACCTTGAAATAAAAAGTTATGCTTACTACTATTATATCACTAATTCGAGGTTTATGAGGCTGAATAAGCTGTAAGTGTATAAATCAATCAGAGTATCAGTGAAATAAGTGTTTAAGACTCAAGCATTACATCAGTAACGTTCATTTTCTGGACCCTTTTTATTTGCTTGATAAGAAGCAAACTAGTCTAATTTTAGTTACATTCCTCAAGTTACGTTAAAACTCAAGTTTATGATTCAATCATGGAAATGTTTCATTCAAATTTCAGTGCACAAGATTCAATTCCAAAAATAGAACTGAAGAAGAAGTAACAGTTGGACGACTTTTGTCTTTACGTTTCCCTTATCGTTATTTGCCAGTCAAACCACTACATGGTCATGCTTTGTTGTCACAGACTGGTGATAAATGGGTGCATTTGCAGGCTTATAATTTGCCTTCACTAACAAATTATTATCAAAGTGATGAACATATCAAAACAAGTATTATATGGATTGGTACAAAGAAACATTTGATTCAATTCGTAGTATATACATACAACGATGTAACATCGCCTACTGGAGAAACGTATTCAACAGATAACCGGTACAAAGCGATACCAATTATATGCAAACTCAAAGAGATTTTACTTGGACGTCAAATTGAAGCAATAATCCTTCAGTTACCTCCAGATAGATTGGATTCTAATGTTAAAAAGGAGTTAGAAATACACAGTGACACTTGGAATAAAAGGAATCTTTCCAAACGAATTGGGGACGTAAGCGTGGAATCAGTTAGAGCATCACAAGTAAATAGACTTTATGGTGAAGAGATAGTTGGTAAAGTAGAAAATGAAGAAATTCGTCGTATCGAAATATCAGTAAGAATATCTTTTTTTATTATTGTCTTTCAAAATAATTTATATACTTGTTGTGCCAGCTTCCGAATACCTATGTAGTGAAATTATATCTCGTGTTATCTGAACTTCGACAGTTTGTTCACAAAAATGCTGTAGCACCTACTAATGTGTTAAAAGGTTGATATTGTAGGTTGTAATGGAAATGAAATTGTCAGATTGTGTTCTCTGTCATTTATCAAAAGGAAAAATAATCAACTGAGTAATAAGTCTTGTTTCTGCTAACACAAAGACGTCATATATATAAACTTGGGCTGCAACCTATATTATTAATCCCAAAGTCTGTACAGAAAATCATATGTGTATCTATGGGTAGCATACGAAAATTAGAAGTGAATCCCTCTAAGTCTTATTTGACTCCGATTGAGTATAATCTACTTATACACTAAACTTTTATTGATTATTAAAATAATTCGGACTGTGTCTGACTTCATCTAAATTCTGCTTGACTAAACTTCTTTTTAACCAATGAAAAGTCGAGTAACTAAACATATGAAACTAAAAAGCTCTAGATATACATTTCGTCCTGATTTAGAACTCTCTGGCAACACCCACTTGTGAAACAGTGATTTCTTGTTCTCATTGAGAGGTTGATATTTCTCATTTTCTGGGTAAGTTCTCAAAGATTCAGATTTCCAAATGTAATAAACTTGTGGTATTCTGTTACAACTATTCGGAGTCACAACTGAAGTTAGACCCTAACATCGTTGGATGCCAGCTCATTGGTCTGAAGGTAAGACGTTCACGCACGAGATCGAATCTCGTGGGTTCGATTTCCGCTTTCAAGATCATGAATGCACACTCTCGAGGCATCTCACACTAGAAGGAACGTTTATCCAGGCTTTTAATGGGAGTTTAGCTAAAAATAGTTCGTGTTTTAAAAAGTGAAAATACTACCTTCTACACAAATCCCCTATACTAGTAAAGGTTATGTGTCTTTCATCCGAATTAGTTAACTCAGTCTCTCATAGCTATTCAATTTTCTCTTGTTTTTAATAGTTTTCTAAGTGTTGTTGATCCTAGATAAAGAGCGATCTGAAATTTAGCTAATCCATACAAACGAGTGTATCGTACAATATGATGTAGTTTAATAAACCATAATTACTCAAGGGAGCAAACAAACTGACTGAATAAACTTGACAATCTTCAAACCAAGGTATGAATAGTCACCAGAATGTTTTTAAAATAGAAAAACGTACTCATAATAATTCTTTATAAATTTAAATATTACCCCTTAGTTTTATAATCATTTTAATTATAGAGGCTGATTAACTTGTGGTTAGAAGTTTACACAGTTTATTTTATAATTATAATTTTTGTTTCTGTATTTACAAAGTTTGGGAAATGAATACTCTATCAACAGTAATCATACTATGGTCGCCATTAAAATTTACTTTTACTATGTATTTACAGAATTAAGGGAAGTCATAAATCTATTTTATACTATTCAAATCTATTTAAAAACTCATCGTTTCTACAAACTGGGAACACATTAAAATAATATCATGGTTTTCATATTTTACTATGATGATACGATTACTGGATTAACAGAAATAGGCTACTTTTTATTTCATTTTTGTGTAAACAAATATTAAGTTGCAACTTTTTATATAAATTATCTCAGGATATCTGTGTAAGTAACGAAAATTTACTGCTTCTTTTACAAGTAGATTTCTGCATTTCAATTGGAATAATTAAGAAAATTAGTAGATAATTAAACAATATGAAATAGTTTATGATGCTGACATTTGGTGTTAGGACAAAAACATTGGAAGATTTGTTACTTTGAATTGATCTGCTTGTTTTGATGAATCTACCAATTGTTTCATCAATTTTATGACAGGCGGATATGGGAGAAACAAAAGATTGTCTATTTTCATTTTCATTAGAAATAATTGATTAACGATTACGTAGAACATATAAAATATACCATTCATTTATTTAGTTTAATATTTGAATTCATGAGTCAACTAAATCGAGACCACCATAAAAACCTGAAATCACTGGACGACCGATTTGTTCTATTATGGGCCTCCTTAGCAGTGCGCATCCACGATCCCTCTCGCGAGATTTGAACCCAGGGCCTATCGGTCTCGTGAGCAAACGCTTAACGTGTGGACCACTGAGCCAGTATCCAACGGTTTTAAATGTCTAACTTCAATCAATCTACGAAATTGCGCCACGATCCACCATTGTTATCAATGAGTTGCTATCTCACAACAGATCGGTTTGAACTCCACTGATCACGGTTTCTCACTATGACTCCAAGAATTACCTTCTGAAGCCAGTCATTAGTGAGCACATGATAAGTATTATAGAAGGGGATTTTGTATGGGTCCTGGGTTCAAATCTCACGAGGCGGGGTTGTGGATGCGCACTGCTGAGGAGGTCCACACTAGAACGAAACGGCCGTCAAGTGCTTCCAGGTTTTCCATGTTGGTCTAGTCTTAATCGACTCATAAATTCAACTATTAAATTATTAAAATCTCTACAAAACCCCCTTCTGATAATAATCATTTATTCAAGATGGAAAATAATCCATGTATTTAAATTGTGATAGTTCTGTCAATTTAAGTAAAAATAAAAATATTAAATTGATGTTCAAAATAAATGATATTTTCATTATTTGTAGCTCCCACTGTTCTAGTTACCTATATTCTTTGGTCATGTGATACATTGTTATAAACAGTAAAATTGGCATTACCACTGGTGGTCTACTATCATTCATTTTATTTCTATATTTTACTGAATTATAATTTTAAGTTAGTGATAGGAGACGAAAGTAGCAGGACGGTTATTGTGTATGCTTAAATTAGTACAAAAGGCAGATAATAAAGGTTTGGAAGTAGTCATCAGGAAACCCTGAACCTTGGATATTTGCTATTTAACACTTCTTAGAAAAACATACCCATAGTTTTGAGAGGAAAGATGCTCTCTGGTGAATTCAACCAATCGTCACACAGGATCACAATCTACGAAGTCAACACTAAATTATTTAATGCTTGGTTAACCTCATTTCGAACTGGGGTATTTAAAATCGATTGTTCAATTAGTAGTGACCATTGTTATATATATCTAGTCCTTTAAGCGCTGATCAAATTCTATCTTTGTCGAGTCACTTAGACTAGCGAATGCATTGGAAGTTTCACAATGAATCAGTATTAAAAAAATTCAATACTTTCCATACTTCTTTAGTTATATCTAAAAGGGTAGATATTCTTGCTTGTGAATGATCAAAAGTTAATTTAAAATTTGAATTCCACTAAGTTCATTCTCTTATGTCATTTATTACATTATTACATTTGTACACGTATGTACAAATGTAATTCTTAAAAATCCATCACTTAGATCTTTTTTTCTTTCCACTAATTCAGCAAAAAGAAATATGTTCTACTGCATGATTGTGTCATTTCTAAAAATTACAGTTTCATCTTTTTCCCATTATGTATTAAATGTTTAATTAAAAAAATTTCAAAAATTTTCAACAAATCAATTATTAACAAAAGTTAGCTAATACATTAATATTACGTCCTATTTTTAATGAAACAAAATATTATTAAGCGCTTGCGAGCAAGACTGATAGGTCCTGAGTTCGAATCCCTCGAGGCGCGGGGTCATGGATACGCATTGCTGAGGAGTCACACAGTAAGACGAAATGGCCGTCTAGTGCTTTTACGTTTTCCATGGTGACTTAGCTTCAATTGACTCATGACCTCAACAATTGAAATTATAAAAAAACCTTTTCCATGGTATTATAAATTAGTTTTGACTGAATTAAAATGTGAATATTAGTGGAAATTTTTTTTGAAAATTTGAATTAATATTCATTTCGTGTTTCGCTCCTCAAAAAGATAATCAAAAGTTGGATAAATTTATTCCAAGCCATAAATTTATCATTTATGATCTTATAAAGCTTATATGATATGAAAAATATTCTTACATACTATTGACTACACTTACTTACGTCTGTTACTCCTAATGAAGCATAGGCCGCCGACCAGCATTCTCCAACGCACCCTGTCATGGTTCTTCTTTTCTAGTTCCATCCAATTCTTGTTCATTCTCCTCATGTCTATCTCCATTTCCCGGCGTATAGTCTTATATGGTCATCCTCTCCTCCTTCGACCTTGAGGATTCCGTGTGAGGGCTTGTCTTGTGACACAGCTCGGTGCTTTCCTCAATGTGTGTCCTATCCACTTCCAGCGCTTCTTCCTGATTTCTTCCTCCACTGGGATCTGATTTGTTCTTTCCCATAGTAGGTTGTTGCTAATAGTGTCTGGCTAACAGATCCGAAGTATTTTGCATAGACAACTGTTAATAAACACCTGTATCTTCTGGATGATAGAATTCGTGGTTTTCCAGGTTTCCGAACCATACAGTAGAACTGTCTTGACATTTGTATTGAAAATTCTGAATTTGGTGTTGGTTTGCAATTGTTTTGAGTTCCAGATATTCTTCAGTTGTAAATATGCTGCCCTTGCTTTGCCGATCCGTGCCTTCACATCTGCATCAGATGTGACCGTGTTCATCGATGATGCTGCCCAAATATGTAAATTGGTTTTACATCTTCCAAATCTTCTCCATCAATTAAGATTGAATTGATGCGTGCTGTGTTGTATCGGAGAATTTCGCCTTTCCCTTTGTGTATTTTGAGACCTACTGCTGCTGAGGCTGCTGCTACAGCGGTTGTCTTCTTCTGCATTTATTGTTGCGTGTGCGATAGAAGAGTCAGATCATCTGCGATGTTTAGATCATCCAATTGCGTCCTGGATGTCCACTGTATCCCGTGCTTCTCTTCAGATGTTGACGTCTTCATGATCCAGTCGATCACCAGGAGAAAGAGAAAGGGTGAGAGTAAGCAACCTTGCCTGACACCGGTCTTTACTTCGAACGACTTTGTCAACTGTCCTCCATGAACGATTTCGCAGTTTAATCCATCATAGGAATTCTGTATGATATTGACT